TTTCCATAGGCTGTAGCTGGGGGGAGTGTGTGTACTGGGGGAAGGGGGATGCCTTAACATCCTCAGAGAATACTCAGGAGTCTGGAACACCTGTGGAGCCTGAGCAGCCAGCTAGAGAAGGTCAGTAGATTTGAGTGGAACAACCAGCCCAGCCTTTCTTCTCAGGCTTTCCAGGCCCAGGGAGGTGAGAGCCAGCAGGAGGCCCAGCGCCTCCAGGCCCAGGTGAATGAACTGCAGGCCCAGTTGAGCCAGAAAGAACAGGCAGCTGAGCACTATAAGCTACAGGTGAGATGCCCAGCTCTGGCCTGCTCTGCTCTTCCTACTGCCCTCTAGGCTTTGCCACACCCCACCTATCCCTCTGCCCACACAGATGGAGAAAGCCAAGACCCATTATGATGCCAAAAAACAGCAGAATCAAGAGCTGCAGGAGCAGTTACGAAGCCTGGAACAGCTGCAGAAGGAGAACAAGGAGCTGCGGGCGGAAGCTGACCGTCTGGGTCGTGAGCTTCAGCAGGCTGGGCTAAAGACCAAGGAGGCTGAACAGACCTGCCGCCATCTTACTGCCCAGGTGCGCAGCCTGGAAGCACAGGTAAGCATCTGGCTAAACAGACTCACCTCAGCTCTGATCTCTTGGACCCCTCTTCCCTCTTCCCTGAGCCCACACCTGCCCTAGGCTTTCTTTCTCTTTCCCAGGTTGCCCACGCAGACCAACAGCTTCGAGACCTGGGTAAATTCCAAGTGGCAACTGACACCTTAAAGAGCCGTGAGCCCCAAGCTAAACCCCAGCTGGACTTGAGTATTGACAGCCTGGATCTGAGCTGCGAGGAGGGGACCCCACTCAGTATCAGCAGGTCAGGAGACAGCCCTCCACCCTAAATCTATTGTTGACTGAGCACCTGCCCTTCAGAAGGCTGTATTCCAGATACTGGGCCAGGATGATAGTGAAAGTCCTATCCTTTTACTCTATTTTTTTTTTTTGGTGAAACTGGAGATTGAACCTAGGAGCACTGTACCATTGAGCGACATCCCCCAGCCCTTCTTTTTTTGAGATAAGGTCTTGCCAAATAGCCAAGGCTGGCCTCGAATCCTGGCCTCCCCAGTAGCTAGGATTACAAGTGTGCACCATGTCCAATTTCCAGCAAAGCATCATAGGTGTGATGACAGACTTCTGGATAGGGCACAGTGGGAAGGAAAAGCAGCAAGTGGTCAGGAAAGGCTTCAAGGCAGTTTTTTGTTCTTCTGAGTCTTAAAGGAATCCACAGGTATATGTGCTAGGTAAACAGGAGTGCATTGTGAGCAGAGGTAGAAAAGGAGGCTGGGAAGCTCAGAGGGCCTGGTTGGACTCCCTCTTGGAAGCTCGTGTCTAGACTTGATCCTAAAGGCACTGAGGAATCTCAGAAGGGTCAAAATTGAGGAGGTTTGCATTTTAGAAAGGTTTCAATAGCAAGTGTAAAAGTTTAAGACTGAAAATACATTTAGTGTTCTTACTAAACAGTTATATTACTATGTACCATTATTCTAAGCACTTCATTTCTTCTCCAGCAAATCTCTGAGGTAGCTTGTCATTTCTCCTTAAACACATGAAACTGGGGCATACAGGCCATTCATTTGTCCATGGTCCCACAGTCGTGGAGCTGGGGTTTGAACCTGGGCAGCCTGGCCCAAGTCTGTCCTTGCCACTACTCTGCTGCCTCTCTCAGATGCCATTCTTTATAAAGTCTAGGTAAGAGGAGGCGAGGTTGACCAAGGAAGGACATGTGCATGGAGAGGAGTGTGGAGAGAAGAGCTGCTTAGGCAGTGTGGCGATGGCTTGGCAGAAGGACGACTGTGTCTCTGTTCAAGGACTGGGGCCTTGCAAGTGTTTGCCCCCATAATGAAACAGGAGAAGCATGAGGAAGACCAGCCCGATGGGCTTAGTTTGTGAAGTAGCTGTGGCCTCCATGGGATATCTAAGCCCTAAAGAGCAGGCTTAGCCCAGAGACCCAGGAATCACTGGTATGGAGGGCTTAGAAGCCCCAGGAGTGGACTGAAGGCTGGGCCCAGGACAAGGGCTTTTCTGAACCTCTGCTTATAATAAATGCAAGAAATGGCCACTGGGGACCACAGTGATAGCCAACCCAGGAAGCATGCCTGAGCAGTTTTCTTTTCCACAGCAAGATGCCTCGTACCCAGCCTGATGGCACAAGCATCCCTGGAGAGCCAGCCTCACCCATCTCCCAGCGCCTGCCCCCCAAGGTGGAATCCCTGGAGAGCCTCTACTTCACCCCCATCCCTGCTCGAGGTCAGGCCCCTCTGGAGAGCAGCCTAGACTCCCTGGGGGATGTCTTCTTGGACTCTGGCCGAAAGACCCGCTCTGCTCGTCGGCGTACAACGCAAATCATCAACATTACCATGACCAAGGTCAGGCTGCTGGTAATAGGGCTCCAGAACAGTAATTCCTACTTCCTTTCATAGGCATCTTTCCCTTAGGTCCTCATTCAGGAATGAGGCATGATGACCAACCAGTTCCTAAAAAAAAAAGCTGAGATCCTAAGGGCAGTGACTTACTTAGGAGCTTTTCTGTAGAAAAGGGCAGAGCTGAATTTGACCCCTTGTAATTAACTCCCCTCCTGTTTACATTGATTAGCATTGATTCCTTGCAGGCTGAAAGGAGAGGACAGGGAAGTTGCAGCCCAGTCCATGCCTCCAGCACACTCTTGTGCAGCTGAGATGTGGTGTGGCCCCCAGTGGATGGCCTCCCAGGCCTGGGCTCTTGCCCTTGTTTTTCTCTGGGAGGAGAGGTGCCTTTATGCAGCAGGTGGCTCTTTGTATGCAAGGTGCCTTCCACCAAAAAGCCAGAGAAGTTATAGAAGATGGTAAAGGTCCAGGAATTGTGGACCCTAAGGGACAGCAGAGGTTGCAAGCCAAGGCTGAGTGTATGATGCATCTCAGGATCTGTGGGTTCTAGCTCTAGTTCACCTACTTCCTAGTTGAGATTTTGGGGGGCTAGTCACTTTATTTCTTTATACCTTACCTCTGAAATGGATTGATAACTCTGCCTGCCTTCCCTTAGAGGACTTCATGGAAAAAAAAAAAATGGATAGAAAAGAGTCTTGATAGGCTCAGCATCTTATAAAGGCTTCCTGCTCATTTGCAGACATGCATGGCCCTTGAGGGGCAGTGGGATGTGGGGCTTCAAGGAGAGAATGGGAGGTGGCTTTATCAACACAACTCATACTCTTGCAGAAGCTAGATGTGGAGGAACCAGACAGTGCCAATTCATCCTTCTACAGTACACAGTCCGCCCCTATTCCCCAGGCCACCCTGCGGCCCGCCTCCTCAACTCAGTCTCTACCCAGCCTGGGCTCTCCTGATGATGGCAACTCAGCTCTGCTTAGCTTGCCCGGCTACCGGCCCACCACTCGAAGCTCTGCTCGCCGCTCCCAGGCCAGGGTGTCCAGTGGGGCCCCACCAGGTAAGAGGACTAGAAGTAGATCCTGGCACAAGAAAAAGAGGCAAGCTTTTAGAATCCCAAGGCTGGCCCCCTTGCTTCCTTACTGCTCTAGTACCACCTGCCTTTCTTCCTTGTAGTCTCAGACTCTCGTTTGTCCAGCTATGGTAATGCTGGGACAGTCCGAACCAGGGGTGCTCACACATGATAGTTACATGATAGTGACAGAGTTACCTGTCAGAAGCCCTCCTCAGCTGGTGATGGAAGGGCTAGCTTGGCCAGACGTTTCTTGGATGTTGTTGCTATTTGGGCTCCAGGAACTCCTTCCACTCCTCTAGGTATTAATTTCTGGCCCTTAATTAGTTTCTCCTGGGTGTGAGACACCAAGCTTTGACAAGTGAATAATATGTAATCCTATCCTCTGCAAACGACCTTCCCAGAGAGAGAGCAGCAACCAAGGCCTCATGATAGAAATGGTCAGCATGTCTCACTCCTGTCTCTGTAGCATTGGTATTAGATTTGAAGTCCCTGGGGAAGGTGGAAGGGAACACTAGCAGCAGAATCTGAAAGTATCAGGGCCAGTGGGCAATTTGCTGACTCCAGCTCCTGACAACTTTTTTGCCCTCCACAGGAAGGAACAGCTTCTACATGGGTTCTTGCCAGGATGAGCCTGAGCAGCTGGACGACTGGAACCGCATTGCAGAGTTACAACAGCGCAACCGAGTATGCCCCCCACACTTGAAGACCTGCTATCCACTGGAGTCCAGGGTGAGCCTTGGGGGTCACTGTGCAGTAACTCCTACACTCTAGTGTTCTGGGTCTCTGGCCTGCTGAGGAGGGTGACTACCTCATGCTTCAATATGGAATGGCCAGCAGCTGTAGAAGCTCAGGATTAAATCACTGTGAGTGGGTAGGGGTTCTGAGAGGAGTTTGTATGGAACTCCTGCCTATTTTTCTGAGGTACAGGTAGATAACAGGAAGGGGGACACCTTTTAAGGTAGGAAGAATTCAAGAAGTTCTGAGATAGGCCCAGTTCCTGTTCCATTTCTGTACAGCTGGGGCTCACTGGCAACTTCTACCTCCTGCAGCCTTCCCTGAGCCTGGGCACCATCACAGATGAAGAGATGAAAACTGGAGACCCCCGGGAGACCTTGCGCCGAGCCAGCATGCAACCAACCCAGATTGCTGAGGGCACTGGTATCACCACACGGCAGCAGCGCAAACGGGTCTCTTTAGAGAGCCACCAGGGCCCTGGCACCCCTGAGGTAGGTGACAGTGGCTTCTGTGTTTTGTTCTGAATAGCAGTGTGTTCAGGTCAGGCTCAGCTAATCCAGTTTGAGAAGTGAATTAAAGGGGAGGTTTCTTTCCAAAGGCCTGATGCATGGATGGGGCCATGGAAAAGGGAACAGGTTGACGAAGTCCACTTGGCTCTAAGAACCCAAGATACCTGGCTTGGGATGTCATATTTCTCTTCCCCACAGTCCAAGAAGGCCACCAGCTGTTTCCCACGCCCCATGACTCCCCGGGACCGACATGAAGGGCGCAAACAGAGCACTACTGAGGCCCAGAAGAAAGCTCAAGCTGTTTTAAAACAGGTTAGATTGGGATTGGAGGGGACAGAAGACACTAGCAAAGCCTTGCTGGCTGAGCCTTGGAGCAGCAGGCTGGCCGGGAAGGCAGCCGTGAATTCCCAATTTGACCTTCTCCCACAGGCTGACCGGCGTCAGTCAATGGCCTTCAACATCCTCAACACACCTAAGAAGCTGGGAAATAGTCTTCTACGACGAGGAGCCTCAAAGAAGGCCCAGTCCAAGGCCTCCCCCAACACCCGCAGTGGAACCCGCCGCTCTCCACGCATTGCCACCACCACAGCCAGTGCTGCCACTGCTTCTGCGGCCACTACCACCCCTCGGGCCAAGGGCAAGGTAGAGGCATTGACAGGAGCAGAAGCACAGGCCCTTTGCAGGGCAGCAGCCAGGGCAAGGCCATGTCAGGCCACTGCAGAGTTAAGAAGTGTCCCTGGGTCTGGTAATAGCAGCTTATTGTCAGAGAGGAGCTAGGTAAACCCCCTTCCCACTGACAGCACCCAGAGCTGCTTAAGTAGGGCCAGAAACTGGTAAATTGAAGCTAGATGTGTCCAGATTCATGAAGGAAGGAATCCCAGTCAGGTGTTTGGGTACAGGAAGGGTTTTCCACCATGTGACTCTCTCTTTCTCTCTCTCTCTTTTTCAGGCAAAGCACTAAAGGGCCAGTACCAGTGAGTGACCCCACCTGTGTACCCTGATGCTGACCTCTCCTGGTCCTTTTCCTTCTACTGTCCCTCTCAGTGCCTTCTCTCAGCTCCCAGGCCAATAGTGGCCAAACCCCTAGAGACAGTGATGCCTGCCCACACCCTGGCCTGTACCTGGACCTTCACAGAGCTGGCCCAGGAGGCTCGGAGCTTGGACAGTGTGGGCCCTCTCCCAACCTTGCCTCCTAATTTTTTTTGTTGTTGTCGGAGCTGTCAATTCTCTATTATAACCAGATATAAGGCTGGCTTTGAGTGGCTGTATCCTTGGGCCCAGCCACTCTACTCCCAGCCTAGAGGGGACCAGAGGAGCAGGCCCTAGTCTTTGTATCTCCCCGTGGCTGGGACTAGCAGGTGGTGGGGCCTTGCTCTTGAAGACTGGGCATGACCTAGTAGGAGCCCCTGCTCTCTTCCACAAGGGCACAGATGCCCAAGGAATGTTCTTTTCCAGGACAAATGGGCCCTGGGTCTCAGGGCTAGGGTGGGGTGGGGTGGGAGGGCAGCCTTAAACAGCAGCTCATACCCTACCTTCCCCAGACTTGCACTGGGGTTGGATTTGGAGTGATTGGAAGGTTTTTAAGGGCTGGGATGGATCTTTTTTTAAATGTTATTTCTTGTAAATAAAGTCTATTTTTCTCCCTTGAGTGCTAAGCAGCCTTGATCTGTATTGAAAGAGGGAAATCTAGGCTCCTTAGAGCCTTCCTCTGTCCCCAGGATCTTCCCATACTCCATTTCTGGCCTCTGTTCCTGAGGAATTTTTTTTTTTTTTTTTTTGAGAGCCAGAGGCAAGGCTTCTTGAGGGCCTATGATCCTCTAAATCTGGTTTTGTTTTAAGGCTTCTAAGTGGCAGTCCATCTCTTCCCATGCTCCCTCCTGGGACAGGCAAAGTTCCTGTGAGCGGAACTGAGGTCTAAATGACTAAGCAGATGTCAAGATGCCTCCATTGAATAATCTTTTATGAGGACTTATTGTGAGTCCTGCTGGGGATGACTGGGGATCAGAAGCAGCCACTGTCCACTTCCCTGGGATAGTTCATTAAGGTGAAAAATAATATATAGATGTAGGCAACATGAAATCAATGCCACATGTGGCCAGAGCTGTGTGTGGCCATGACTGAAGAGGTGGCATTTCAACCAGGCTTCCAGGGTCACCTGTTGGAATGGCAAGGAAGACAGGACCAAGGGCGCAAAGGCACATGAGTGGGAGCCATCTTAGAAACAAGGAAGGGTGCTCAGGAAGGACATGTGAGTCTTGGGCTAAGGTTCTGGACAGGTCTTGAAGGTTTCTGAGCAGGAGATATGTGTGATGAGTAGGACATAGAAAAGCTAATGAGACAGGTGAAGAGAAAGGCAAGCTGGAGGAGGGAGCCTTAAGGGGAGGTCACTGGGATTTTCTAGGCGGGTGGGAAGGACGTTTGAATCTGAGAAGAGGAGCCGCTTGCTTGCCCACAGCCTGCAGCCTGCAGCCAAGACTTCGCCCTCCAGGTGGGAAGTATCCAGGCTCTGCTCACGGTGGTGCTATTCTTGGCCCTGTGCTCACTCTTGACCCTGCTGATGTGGGCAGCTGGGGATCTGGGCTCTGGCTGGAAGGTAGGGCTTCTTGAGAGCCAGGCAGGACCACCCTCGGCCCAGCCTGGAAAAGTAAAGGCAGACAAGGATCAGGGTTAAGGAATGGAAGGACATCTGGTCATTTTCCTCCAGGCCATGCCTCCCCTGCCCAAGTCCTCAAGTCCTTTTTGTTCCTGACTCAGGCTGACCTTAGGGAAAATGGGGGCATTAACTTGGAGGCTTCTCTGACGGGCCTTCCCTTCCTTTCTTCCCCACACAGAAGTGGAGCTCGACCTGTCCCTGGAGGCCTCCCTTGGGTTCCTCACCCAGAGCTGTGCCAGGATGATATGATGCTGGGCAACCTGCCCAGGGTCCATAAACACACAGGAGAAGATGGTGTTTCGCAGGGCAGGGCTCAATTCCTCTAGCACCAAGGATCTCCACAGTCGAGTGCTTTTAATTCCAGGCTCTCGACTGGAACACAGGAAGGAAAAGCTGTGTGTTGAGAGCTGCAGCGGGAGCCCTCCCTCCCGCTGGCCTCACCACCCTGTCACCTGGTGCTGCCCTCTCTCAGCCGGCCTGGGAGGTGCTCAATGAAGGAACCATTGCCCAACCAGTATAGGATGTTGAAGTCAGGGAAGCGACTGCAGGCAGTACAGGACAAGGTCAGCGTTCCATCTGGGGATACAAGTGGCTGTTAGCCCTTCTGCAGAGCAGGCTCTCCCTTCTCCCCACCCTGCCAGCTCCTCACGGACACATAAATCAGGAACCTGGAAGGCTGCAGAGAAGCCTATAAAGGGGAAGTACAGTTATCTAGGCCTATGCATGGGTATGTGGGGAAGGGTCCTAGGTCACGTATTCCACTTATGAGCTGCTTCTTCAGGATGACCTTTTCCAGTGCCCAGGCTCTGAGATTCTAGGCACCTAGGCCAAATGCTCAGTGCTAGCAGGCTGATGCTCTTCTGAGATGGCCAGAGGGAAGGCAGGCTCTGAGTAGAGGGGCTGCACCTTAGAGTACATTTACAAGCAAGGCCCTTGAGGTCCTACAACAATTCTGAGTCTGAATTATCTCTGTCCCTTTTGAAAGGGGTCGTCTTGGGAACTGGGCTTTGAGCCCACACCATGATGCCAGGTTGGGGGTCAGAATAGTGAGCACTCTGCCAAGCTGGCCTGGGTACTGATACACAGTAGGTGAAGAGTTAACTTTGGAGTCAACCCAACCCCATGGACAATCTCTACCCTCTGGCCACTGTGTCCTGGGATCCTAACATAATTGCTCCTTACTCAGTGGCACTTCCACTTCTGGCCAGGTCACCTCCAATGCTGGGCACCGCTTAGCTGGTGGAAGTGTTGGAGACCAAGAGGGGCTAGGGTCCTTGGAGATCCCAGCTGAGGCAGTGGCAGCTGTGATAGTCTGAGGAACAGGTGTGGCTCCAGCCAAAAGAGTGACGATGTGGAGATACAGAAGCAGTACCCACAAAGAACTGGAGTCTAAGGAGAGGACAGTCACAGAGTCAGCTCCTGTCTTGGCCAGAGATGGAATTGTTGCCTGGGTAAAGACTGTGACCCAGATTCAGGGAATCCAAGGGGCAGACTCCTCGGCTCCCACCCTTTAGGCCTTTGAATGAAGCACAAAGAAGCCCTCGAATGGAGCCAGAGCCACAGTATCTAGATAGAAAGTTAAGAGTAACAACACTCATGGGATGAGGATATAGCTCAGTTGGTAGAGTGCTTGCCTTGCAAGGCCCTGGGTTCAGTCCCCAGCAACACACACACACACACACATACACACCCCAGTAATAGCACTCTTGACTTGGGTGGAATTCACCTGGGGTATAGATGGTAGCACTGCTCCATTCTGTTCACAACCCCCACCCAATTCCCCTCCATGCACAGCCCCAAGTCCCACCTGGTATCCAGTTCTGTCCCATGGTCGTGATGTACATGAGGAGCTGGCAAGCTCAGGTTCTATATATCTGTGACTTCTTCCTCTCTGGGGAAAGGTTAGGAATGGGGAAGTGTGGGTGACAATCACGTTTTCTCAGTAGTCTTTCTAGATCCCAGTCATACATGAGGATTTATGAACTCCACAGCTGGTCTTTGGGTCTGAAATATTCAGTGGGCTGCCAGGCCACTGCTATTACTCTGTCCATCTTTCCCAGTGACTCCCAGGCTGGAGCTCTGTCATGCAGATACAAACTGGGTATCACAAGTGACAATCTGACCCACCCAACTCTAAGATCTAGTCCAATCTTACCCCTGCATTAGGGATGTAGAAACAAGCCCCAAGAGGGACCAGGGACTTACCTAGTCACAAAGGAAGGTGATGCTCTCTCCACTGTCAGGAGTGGTTCTGAGAAGGGCAGGATGCAGTGAACTCCTTCTGGGAAAGTACTGCCCAGCACCCGTTTCACTTTCACTTTTGTTCTAACCAGGGATTCAAAGCAGGCACTAAGCCACTAAGAGGGGCAGGTACTGCACCCTCTTATGCCAATGCTCCAGGGCCCAGAAATGATCCAATTAACTCTTGGGCCCCTGTTCTCCAAATAGCAAACTGTTGTCTTATATCCATCTCGTTGCTCAGGTCACCTACGTGTGAACCAGATGATTCTCTCATAGATCGATTTTGACCCAGACAAGAGTCAGGACTTTGGTGTTCCCCTCCATCCTTCAGAGCCAGGTCTTTGTTTCCCGTTGAGCAGGCTTCTGCTTCCTCTTTTACATTCATACTGATAATCAAGGGGACAACATTTCTAGGCACTGGGAACCCCAAATTGGAACACCGATCATTTTAGGCTTAAGATGATCGGTGTTCCAATTTGGGGTTCCCAGCTTATCACCATCCTGGTCTTTCTCAGGCTCCCTCACCTCCAACCAGCTACATCACTCAATACCCTCTATCACACCCACAAACCCTCTCACTTCCCTTGTCCTAGTACCTTTGGCCAGAGCTACAGTTGAGGGTCACTAGTAGTGTAAATACCCCCTACCTGGCTCCCAAGAAGTCCTGAAGAGTCCTCCTTTTTAGAAGCTCCTTCCTCGGAGCTGCAAAGCCCAGTTCAGCTGTGTCTACCCCCATGTGCCACGTCACAGGAAGTACACCAAGAGTACTTTCCTCTCGTCTGCAGAAAATCTTACAGTCAAGCTTAACATAAGCTGAAAGCTGGCCCTAGGAGGAGGGGAAGGCACTTCCTGGTGAAACAGTGGCCCAACACAGGCTCTAGCAGCTTGGAGAGCTACATAAATATGATTCTGATCTCTGATGGAATAAAGGGAACTGGGGTTGTGGCAGGGCCAGGACCAGGGTTAGGCAAAATCTAAAGCAGTATTTACTCTCAGTGTTGTGCAAGGCAGACCAGATCCATCCTACAATGTATGCAAGTATCAAGTGGTGCAACAGCTCTGTCTGAGGTTTGTGATTTCTGATCAGGAGAGTGACAGCTGGTGATAATAGCCAGGGAGGCTGGGGAGATGGACTGGACTTAGAGGATGCATCAAGAACATAAAAAAATCAGACTCATATTCCTAATTTATGATGTCAAAAGTCACATCCTCTTTTTTTTCACTAGATGTCTAGTTCACATTTCTGCTCCTCTCAGTTCCTCCCTCTACCTTCTGCTGTTAGGCTTCTGGGAAACGCCTCACTGTATCTCTAGGAATTAGGTCCAGAGGCAAGACCACCTGGCAGAGAGAGGAGCCAGAAACTCCATATCGGTATGTCATCAAGACCAGAGGCAGGCCACTGGGGCAGTCATGGGACTCAGGACTAAGAATAAAAACAAACTTTGGCCTTGACTACTCACAAGTTTTCCATGGGATAAAAGTGAAAGAGTGATCTCTGAGCACTTCAACCAGTCCTCGTTCCCCTCTGATGGTGCGCCCACAGGTAGCATGAGCAGTGAGGTAATGGAAAGCCACAATTGGGTGAGAGTGGCAGGAGGAGGGTGGGTGGTGATAAGTACTGACCTCAGGTAGTGAGGATGGAGAGCCACCTCAGGCTGAAAGGGGACCCAATGACACCCCAAGGCTTCTAATGTCACCAGTCAGAAGCCTAGCATTCTACCACTCCAGGGATGTTGGAAAGGGAACAGCAAAAAAAGCAGCACCAACCGCCCTCAGGCCCCAGCTCTCAGATGAGAGCAGTAGAGTGAAGACACCCCCAGGGACCCCAGGGAAAGAAGTAGGAAGAAGAAAAGCCAGATGGATATTCAGCTTTCCAACCCAGCTCACAGAGCTTTATTCAGACAGGAGTGACAAGATCCTGCTTGTTTCTTGAAGGGGCAGCCCTGACAGCCCCTCTGCCCTAGAAAGCCAGCACTGTCAGCCCGGGATTGCCTTCATGATTTCTTCAGGAAAAGGGGGGATGGAAGCCCCTTTTTACAACTCACCTAGGCCTTATCCTTCTTCCCACCCATCCATCATTCCCACTGTCAGGCCCACGAGTGAAAGAATTTACACAGGGATATTCCCTGGGCTAGGAATCCCCTGTTAGCTTCAAGAAAGTCTGTCTTTGACGATTGGGGGAAGTTGGCATAGGATACCCTTCTGCTGTGCACGCACACATACATACACTCGCATATACAAACACATACTCATTCTCCCTCAGGCTTTCAGGAAGGAAGTGATGTGGCAGAGTGGCTTTTGGAGCATGTCACCACTTCTGGGCTTCCGTGGCCTAACTATATAGAGATGGCCTCTTTTCCTGCCTCACTATAGTCATGCTCAGGGGCAGGTTATTCATGCTGTTGATTATTCTAGTTGTCCCCAAACACACTGTCAATGAATTCTGAGGCCCCAGGGCTTCCCTTGTTAGAAGAGTCACTGAAGAAGTTCCACTTGCCTCACCCCGCCTTTAGCTTCTAGTCAGGGGGAGAGAGAGTCGATACAACATCCATCCTGCATCAGACAGGGCAGAAGGGAAGACACTTGGACCCTCAGTGTTCATCTGTGGCAACAACTGAAGCTCTTTAACCATTCCACACTGAGTGGACCAGGCTGACCCCTGCAAAGGGAAGGCAAGGGAAAGGGAGTGGGTGGGTTGAGGCTCTCAGCCAGAGATGAGAAGACTCCTTTAAACCAAAAGCATCATGGCTGTGCTCCCATGTTACTCAAGCAAGGTGAGGCTCGAAGGGGTGGGGCGTTCAACTCCTACGCTCCACAATAAAAAAGTTTTTTTTAAATATATTCATCAAAATAATTTTCTTTTAAAAAGCCCCCCACTGCTGACAGCCCCACAGGCTGGCTCTCCATTTCCCTCCCCGGCCCGGACACAGCCGGAGGGGTCCTGAGTGGCCCAAGCGCCCCTTTGAGTCTTTCCCACCCAGGAGGTCTTCATGGGCAGGGAGAAGAGTGCCCTGAGGTCCATGGTGGGTGGGGTGGTTTCTCCACTGCTGTGTTCCTGACTATTCCAGGCCCAGGATGTAGTTGATGCCTTGCACCAGGCCAATGATGACAGGCTGCCAGGCTACCAAGTATCGAAGCCAATCCAGCAGTTGTCCATACATGACATGAGGCCTCTCCCAGCTGTCAATGGGTTAAGGATCAGATGCAGACATCCAAGAGCTACGAGTTCATCTCATTTGGGAGGAAGGAGTCCCCAGCCTTTCCTGGGTCTACCACACCTTCCAGCTGCTCTGCAAACTGCCCATCCTCTCCATATTGGAGTGAAGTCATCTAAACCCAGAGAATAGGGGAGAAAAACAGAGGAGACTGTAGGGCAGACAGGACAGACATCAGAGAAGTAAAAGGGTGAAATGGCCCTCCATGACCAACATGCGGGGGGGGGGGGCCTCCAGGCAACACTCTAAGAGAATTGCCAGTGTGAGAACACACAGCCTGGCATTTTTAGATACTCTATAAATGTGTTGGTGACAATAGCTGCAAAGAGTGGGATAGGGTAACCTGAATATTCTTCTAATGTCCAAAATTGAAGATTGTCTCAGTTGAGGAAGGGGTTGAGTCCAGGGTCAGAATGAGAAGGGAACAGGGACAGAGGCTAGTCATGAGGGAATCACCCTTGGCAGAGACTCTAAGGAGGAGCCATCCAGGGTACTAAGAACCAAACCCTGATAAGGCCAGGAAATGGGTTTCCTTTCTTTTGTTGTACATCTAAATGCTGGGCAGGGGTTCTGGAGAGGGGGCCTGGGAAGGCCAGCTCTGAGGAAAGCACAGAGAAGCTCATGAAACTGTGGAGGGATCCCTCTAAAAACACTGGAGAGATTAGCTTGGCCCAGGTCTCTGCAAAATAAGGGAAGTCTCAAGCCTCAGCTTGGCTGTGGAATTATGCTTGTTCCTGAGCGGGGCCCTGGAAGAACCAAGCAGGAAATGTGAAAGGGAAGAGGCCAGAATCTCCTGTTCTGGGCCCATAATGAGTACACTAGGAACATAATGTTCCCTATGTACCTGAGCTAGTGTTTAGAGAGGAAGGGACGGGGAACCATGCAGCAGAAAAAGGGGAACTCAGGTCATAAAGTTGCGAAGGAACCAAATGAACTAATCCAAGAAGTACTTAACACAGCACAAGCCACAAAGGAAATAGTGAATGACAGCAGCTATTACTGTCAGTTTATAATGGGAAGGTGAGCAGTTAATCCTGCCTCATGTCACACCCCTAATTTCCCTAGAAGAGAAGCCAAACTGAATGCTGAACATGTTCCAGGTTGAAGGCAGGAGGGAGAGATCCAGACACAGAGTCATGTTGGCCAGTACTTTTTTCCTACCACCCACTTCCCACAAGGACCCAAACAAAGGATACGGGTTGCTGAACATTCTCTTCAGGTCTACCTTCTCTTTGCAGTAGGGACACGTCTGCTTCTTTCCAACAATGCACCAGCCACGGATGCAGAACTCATGGAATCTGAACACCACAGGTCAAGGGAAATGGTGGGAAACCAGGATGGCACTTCAGCCCCCTGCTAGTCTGCAAGGTGCCTTGTACCAGCTCTGGTGAAAGATTCAAAGCCTGGCTTCATTTCTTATCAGCCATGTAATTCTGGGCACGTCACTCGTCAGATCTTACAGGGTTATTAAGGTGCAAAATGGAGATAAGCTGTGGATCTCCCAACATAGGCAGAAAATGAGAGCTGAATAAACACCTTTGGTAAATATTACTAGTGTTACTCAGAATAAATCTGATTCTAAACTGAAGGATCCTATTAGAGGATCCTCCACCCCTGGGACATCCAATCTTGGTTCAGTGAGCTCAACCTCACTAGTGCAGCTTCAGGCTCTCTTTGACCTAGGCAGTCTATAACCATTGCATGCACTAAGACAGGCTGCAGTCTGTGGGACAGGAGGAGGATGGTTGCAGTTTCAAGCCTCTTGTGGCTCTCCAGCACTCAAAGGTTTGAACGGCATGCTCAGGGACACAACCACCCACTTTCCCTCAGTGAATGGAGGGCGGTCTCAAGAGGGATGTGGTCCAGGAGCTTAAGGCAGGATACACATGATTGCAGGACAACCTATATGTGTTCTCGATGATGCCCTCTTCACTGACGTCCACAAAGATCTGCTGCCCACACACAGCACACACGCTGTCCGAAAGGTGTTTGGTAGGCATGCCTGACTCACTGTAAAACTGGAGGAGGAGAGCAGGAGGGAAGGACAGAAAAAACTGTGAGAATCCACTGAAATGGGGGGCATCACAGAGGCCTGAGGTCTTCTGGAGACGAGGCAAAGTGTCAGGGGAACTAAAGGACATCTTTTAAGCCAAGTGAAGCTCATCGTTGCTGGATGGACAGGGAGAAAGGGACAAACCAGAGAAAGGTTGAAAAGTTAGATATAACAGGACCCAAAGGCTGCCTAGGGTCAGTACCAAGGACAGGGGAAAGGGAGGGAGGAGGAGCTGATAATCAGGAGCTATGTCAGGTTAAGTCTTTGTGTGGCTATATGAGTCTATGAGAGATAGACATTTTCTAACATTTCAAATAGTGAAGCTAGGCACTATGGTGTATACCTGTAATCCTAGTTACTTATAAAGCAGAGGCAGGAGGATCTTAAGGTTGAGGCCAGATTGGTAAATTTAGCAAGATTCTGAGTTCAGTCTCTCCACACCACTAATAAAATGGTGAGTCAGACATGATGGCACATGCCTGTAATCTCAGTGACTCAGAAGCCTGCCACAGAAGAATCATGAGTTCAAAAGCCAACCTGGGAAACTTAGTGAGACCTGTCTCAAAACAAAAAGGGGAGGTAGGGATGTGGCTCAAGTGGTAGTGCGTGCACGAGGCACTGGGTTTGATTCTCAACACCACATAAAAATAAAATAAAGATACTGTGTCCACCTAAAACTAAAAAATAAATATTAAGAAAAAAAAAAAGGGCTGGGGATGTAGCTCAATAGTAGATCACCCCTGGGTTCAATCCCCATAACATAAATAGTGAAATAGTGGGGGTACTGTTGATTTGGTGACAAGAACATTCTCAGAAAATTGCAGCAACACCAAAGGAGATTCAATTCTTTTGAATCACATTTGGCAGCGTGTCTCAAACTGCTGTACCCTTGAATCTACTACTTTCACTTTAAGGAATTAAAAAAAATAAATGAAAATGTAAAAAATCTTCACACATACAGATATTAATTTAAGCATTATTCATAATTAAAGAGGCAAAGGGTTTAGCATTTCCTCAAAAGTTAGATAAGTTGGGAGTATAGCTCAGTGGGAGGGTGCTTGCCTAACATGTGCAAGTCTCTGGATTCAATCCCCAGCACACTGAAAAATAGAGATTAAACAGGATTATCAAATGACCTCACAATTCCATACCTAGGTATATTCCCAAAAGAAATGAAAACAAGAACTAACCAGTGAATAAAATGTTAATAATGCTCATAGTGGCATTCATAATAGCCCAAAAGTGGAACAAACCCTTGTTCAACAGATGAATGGGTATAATATAGTATATTCATACTATGGAATATTATTCAGTAATAAAAAGGAATGAAGTTCTGATACACACCATACACCAATGAACCTTGAAAACATTATGCTAAGTGAAAGAAGCCAGATGCCTAATGACAAGACAAATATTATAATTTTCCCACATGAAATTATCTACAGTAGTCAGATTCACA